TATATTTGTTTTCAAACGATTATTTAAATACAGTGGCCGTCAAAATTGACCAACCACCTAAGAAAAAAAAAATGTTCGATTTTTATTTTTCCAACGAAAGGTGTTAGAGACGTGAAACCTTCACTATGTTGTAGGCCACTACTCATAGTATGTTTAGTATCAGTATCAACCAAAAGTTTTCTCTCGTTCATATTTTTATTTAGAAAAAAAAAAAAAGTTCGAATTTTTTTCGCGTCAAAATTGACCAACCAAAACACAAAAACGATATTTCAGATGTGAGAATATACTTTTTTTCAATCGAATTAATATCTTGTAGGACCTCCTTTCATACGAATTACTTCATTTAGTCTATTCGGAACTGAATCGACCAATTTTTTCAAGACCTCCTTCTCAACTCCCTTCCATACACGAGTTAACGACTCTTTCAATTCTTTTTCATTCTTTGGTTGTTCTTTTTTCATCCGTCGTTCGATTTCATCCCACAGGTGTTCAATCGGGTTCAAATCCGGTGAAAAGGAAGGCCATTCAAGTCGCTCAATTCCATTTCGGTTCAACCAATTGTTCACAATAGCCGCCCTATGCTTAGGGTCATTATCATGTTGAAAGGTCCATTCGTTATCCATCTTCAGTTTTTCCACAGACTGAAGCAAATTATTGTCTAGGATAGTACGATACATCTCCCCAGTCATATTCCCATCAATAAATACTAAATTGCCAACTCCAGACGCCGAAAAACATCCCCAACACTTAACATTTCCGCCTCCATGTTTCACAGTTGGCACTATGCATGTTGAATTGTATTCTTCCTTCGGTGTTCTCCATACCATAACCTTCCCATCAGACCCAAATAAGTTAAATTTACTCTCATCAGACCATAAAACATTATTCCAAAAGCCAAGAGGTTTTTCTCGATACTTTCGAGCATATTGAACACGTTTACCACGGTTAGCTTTAGTTACCAATGGTTTCTTACGAGCTACACGACCATATAAACCGATTTCATGAGCTCGCCGACTAATCGTTGATTCAGAAACAGTTATGTTGAGCTCAGTTTGAAGTTCAATTTTGACAGCCAGAGCCGATTTTCGACGATTGGTTTTGATTTTACGCTGAATGACACGGTCAAGATGGGCTGTTGTCTTCCGTTTTCGTCCTCGACCGATCAAATTTCCAATACATTTCGTTGATTTATATTTCGCAATCATATAATGAACGGTATTACGTGAGATTAATAAGTCTCGAGCTATGTCCCGTTCAGAATCACCATTAAGATAGCGTTTTATTACGACTTCACGTAGGTCGTGTGAGAATTCTTTCCTCTTCGTAGGAGCCATTATGTAAACTGATTTCTTAGCACCGTACCTAGCTATTTTAAACCTACCAAACAAATAAATACGAAAAAGATGTCGCTAACACCTTGTACGAAGAAAAAAAATGCGAGTTTCTATACTGGTTGGTCAATTTTGACGCGAAAAAAATTTGAACTTTTTTTTTTTTTCTAAATAAAAATATGAACGAGAGAAAACTTTTGGTTGATACTGATACTAAACATACTATGAGTAGTAGCCTACAACATAGTGAAGGTTTCACGTCTCTAACACCTTTCGTTGGAAAAATAAAAATCGAACATTTTTTTTTTCTTAGGTGGTTGGTCAATTTTGGCGGCCACTGTATATAGTAAAAAACATTAATCTTCAGGAGTCGTCTATGGTATCTTTTTCATTAAATTAAAAGGAGTTTCAAATGCATTGGCAACTTAAATATAACAATTGTTTTGTAGACCTATAATTTGCATATTAAATGAGCTATCGGGATCAATTTATAATCGATTTGAAGATGGAGTTTTACTTTAGTAATGGATTGAGCAGAGAGAATAGTATCACTTGTCAATTTATTCTGTCAGTGTAATCCAAACAAGACACAAAAAAACAACAACAATGTGTGAACTGCCGAGACACCAAATCATATTCTGAAACGTAGTCCTACAGTAGCTAAAACAGGCGACGACAATTAGATAATTGGGCACTCACGGTTTTGTAACCTCTAATGTTTATTATTATTACAAAAGTATTGTATCAACGATTCCTTTTTTTAACGCATCAATCAACATTTTTATTATAAATGACAACAATCTGTCGAGTAAACTTTTATTTCTAACATTCAATTATTAAATTCTATGGATCCTCTAGTCTTTGTTTCTTTCTCGATTGTTATTTTTTCTATTTTTAAATATGGAAGAACCAAGATCAATAATTAAGTTTGTTCTACCTGATTTACTAAATCTTAAAAATAATGAAACAATCAATAAAACCTGTAAGTTTTCTTTTCTTATAACAAAGTAAGTTCGTCGATCGGAATCTTTTAGTATTGACTAATCGATCTTAGAGAAAATTGGATATTGATAATATAATAGAAAAGCTTACTATCATGTACAACTTGTAAAATTTCGAATGGATAGAAAAGAACAGCTTCTACAGAAATGGCACTTAACGATTGTGTAATACGAAAAACAGCATAAGAAACATCATTATTTGTTTCTATAATTGCTGGAATATGAATTAATGGATCCATGATGCGTTCTAAATAGATTAGTATTATTTCGAGAGATTTTATTTTTGATAAAAAGAAAATTTTACTGCATCGAATGTAAATTTGTTGTTGTGATTGTCCCGATTGAGGTGATGAATTTGTTGATTGTAATTTATAAGGTACAGCAAAACAAGGCACTGCTATTGTTAATTGATCAATAGAAGTAATTGCTCTTTTAAATTCAATATCAAATATATGTGAATATTTTTCACATGCATTATAATTTATTTGTGATAATAAATGTTTTGAATTTTCTGTACATACAATATGTATATCATTTTGTGTTAATTGTCCACGAATACAACGAATATAAACATCTTGCTTGATTATTGTTGTTGTTATTTCATAGAGAAATATTTCATATAGAGGATTTTTATTAAATATATTTGATGGTAAACGTAATGATTGTTCAATTTCATGAAAACATTCATTTTTAGATAAAACTGATTTCATTAAAACATCGTTTAATGTTGCTATTTTAAGTCGAAGTTTAGTTGCTTGTTTAAGTAAATTCATTATTAAACGAGAAAATTCTAATCGATGTTTATAATTATCTATTGGATTTTCATCGAATGTTGATAATTGTTGATCAAGTAATGCATTAGTAATATTTGTTGTGAGCGAATTTGACTCTGGTGCATATGATGTTAACATTTCAAATTCACGACAAGTGAAAGTATTAGTATTTTGATGAATATTCATTGCTGAAATGATGAGAGATCGACAAGCATTACAAAATAGACTTAGTTTTTCGCCAACATTTTTTATAGCAATTAATTGACTAAAAGAGATAAATGATAGAATTTTGAAAATGATTAGCTATGAATGTTCGGTAAAGAGATGAGTGATTTACTTTTGAAAATGTGTTGTTATTTGTTGAGCTCGTTCACATTCTATTTCTAAATATTTAAATTTTTTATTTAAATTTTGAATTATTAAATCAAATTCATTGATATCAAAAGATTTTATATTTGTTATTAGTTCTTCAATGAAAACATTTTGTTGATCAATAAGAATTTTTTCTTGATTTATATCACTATGAAATGTATGTTCTTGTACTTCATGATTTATCATATTAATATCTGCATCGATTGATTGAGCATTCGATGAGTCATTGATAGTTTGAAAATGTATTGGTGATGAAAGTGTTTGTACAATATCATCATTAGCAAGAATTTTAGACTCGGTAAAATTACGAAATTCGTTCGATTCATTATCCATGATCTTGTTTTTTTTCTTTTGATTTAAAGCAATTCACTTGCGTATAAAATAAGTAAAGAATTTTATAGGCGCTTTTTTTTTCTTTTCTTTTTTATTTAAGTCATATCCGGCTCTTTCATACTTATTACTTCCGTTATAGAATTGAATTTTGAATAAAACAAAAATAAGAACTTCCATTTATATGTCATTTAATTATAAAAAGTTTCTATTGAATAGAATCAACAAAGGAAACTAATTAAATGTTCTCATTTTAATCGTAAAGAATATAAATGATCACGATGTTGGAATTGAGAAGATAAGCAGACGATTGTTTTTTTTCGTGTTTGTAATATATGATCTATGTTGTTTTTCTTTTCAAAAGAAAGATGTTATCAGGTGTTTTTATTACGATAAGATATTTGATATGGCACAAAGGAAATGTAAAAAAAAACTTTATTTCATGTGAGTATTATCATTTTATATGCAAGTGTTTACAGAAATAATAAATAAACGTTTTATTTTGATTGATACTATTTTATACTGCAATAGTAGTGGTAAGATGTTTTGATTGTCCATTTAAGGAACCATTAGCTGGTGTACGATATTGATGATAGCGTTTAGTTTGTCGTAACATATGTATTGTTATGAATACAGCTGCTAAACTAAACATACCGGCTACAACTACTATAGCAAAGATTTTGAGAAAAAATCGATCTCGATCTTAAATAGACAAATAAAAAAGCATAGAATTATTATAAATGAATATATTTCAAAGTTAATTTCCTACTTGTTTTAGCAAGAAAAGCAGCTATTTGTTCAGAATCTATTGTAGTAGTCAATGACGCGTGTTCATTGCTATCATATAGCAATGTAGAAAATGACCAAGCCGAGTGTGTCATTGGTATTTCACTTGTAGACGCAGTTGTTTCAGTTATAGCATGTGTAGTTAATTTTATTGTACTAGATGATGATGATGATGATGATGATGACGACGACAACACTTTAGTTATTGCAGGTGTTGTATGACTAAGTGTTTTCTCTTCCGAGTCGCCTTCACCATCATCATAAATTTCATCATAATGATGATCAACATGCATATCCGGTGTAGTTACTTTCTTTACATATTTTGCTGTTGGTTCTATAGTTTTCGGTTTCATTGAATGATCTTCAACTTTCTCTATTGAGTCTTGTAATGCTATAGATTCTGTAGTCGTATATTCATGTTCGTCCTCATACTCAACATCGTAATCAGTTTTAGCAGGTAAGAATAGACCTAAGTTAATGGAAAAATAGTAATAAATAATATAAATAAATTCAATCTCACTGAGCAATACAAGTATGGATACATGTATAAACCATGAGAAATGCATTATTGTAAATCAGATTGTTATTACAAAGTAAATCACGTCTATATGTACTAACTGATAAGATGTCATTATTCACCTTTTTTCTTCTCATCTTTCATGTATAGATTGCAAAGGCAATCAAATTTCCATAGAAGAGATATGCATAGACCTCAAGCGAGATGCTACCTTAAAAGAAAAAAATATTAAAGTATTACGATGATGATGTCATAAAATGAATAGAAAGAAGTAGGGATGTTATTCATTGTATGATTAAGTATCATCTATCAAATTGAATGAGTGAAGAAATAAAAAAAAGCAAAAAAAAAGTAAAGCACAAAAAAAAAGATATGACATAAGGTACTTTGAAATATTTTAAATTATTGTTCACTTCGATAAAATAAAAGTAGATATTCAACTGAATAGTTTTACTTGTCGAATAACACTAAGAAAAAGTTTGCAATGATAAGAAGAATATTGATTTTTTTTCTTCTTTTATTCAAACAAAAACATCATTTTTATCTTATACCAATGATGTTACTATTGTTTTTAAATAGAAATAATTTTCTTTCTCGTGTTAATATTTTATTTTATATTTCCCGTAGAATGAAAGAGCACTTGAGACACACATGCTCAACATTTATTTACATGTCATAATGCTACTTTTTTTTTCAGTCTTTTTAGTGTAACAATAATAATTAGTTTTATTATTAATATATCTCCAAGACTGCTTGTTTCAGTCCAGTGCTACACATTCATAACGTATAAATAAAATGACATCAACATTACCGAGAAACGGCAAAAATTCTTTAACATTTGAAAGTGTTGTTTGTTCACAATTAGAATTACAACGGCGTGCTGCATCGTTTTCTCATCGTCGAAGTACAACATGTCGACAATCATCACAATGTCCATTGTCATCATCGTCATCATCATCTAATCGTTTGTCAATATCATCAAATCGAATCATGGTATTAAAACCTATTTCATCTCGCTCATCGACACCATATTCAAGTAGTCGAGCATCAACATCGATGGCATCAGATATTACAAGTCCATTTGTAAAAACAAGACATTCTAATTGTAGTAAACGTAGTCGAGCATCATCAATGCTTTCTATTAGTGGTACTCGAATGGAAAATATAACGGATCGGCAATCTCTCGGTTCAATATTTTATTGGGATACATCATTAAGAAATGCAACAAGTAAAAAAGTATGTGACAAATGATATTTATTTAGATAAATTCACTTTTTTTCTTCTTCTTTAGAGCGGATCACGATGGAGTATTGATTTTCCGAAAGAAACACCATTTTATTGGAGTTTAAGATCACGTCTAATTGAAGAATATACTGAATCCGAATCTTTACTTCAATTTGCTAAAAAGACTGTTCTTGTGCTTATGAAAACAAGTAATTAAAATAAAATAAAAATTATTAATTGATATTTTCTTTTTGACATACATATAGAAGAGGCAACAGTTTTTCTTTGTCTTATTCTGGTACTTCCAATTATAATGATGGGAATTGGTATGCTCTAAAAGTTTCTCTATTCTTAATTAATCAATCATTTTCATGTAGGCGTTAGCCATTTAAGTGATTGTCCACGTCAAACGAATTTACCAATTTATTTATTTGTGGCCGGTATTGTATCAACTACAAAACTTCTTCAAAATATTTGGCATAAGTATCGTCTACAACAAAAACGTCTAACTGATGAAGAACCATCATCCAATCATAATGATGGTCATGCATTTATTGACGGCTTAATGACATCATTTCTTGTTATTTGGTTTTTTGTCGGTCAATATTGGTTTGTAACTATAGGATATCCACCACATTTTGAACAACCATTAGAAGATCCAGATATTTGGTGTCATAAAACTGTTGTATATTGTGCATTAGCATCAATAGTTATTACTTATTTTTTATTAATTGCTTTTATTGCTATTGCCTTATTTCTTGTGTTTTTTACGCGATATACCATTATTAAACGAGCATCAACACATTGATATGGATAAATAATTAACTCAGGCCAACAAATACGGGGTCATATCACTGTAGACAGCATTATGAAAAACTACAATCTGTTTATTGCTGCAAACTTGCCCTTTTGATCAACTTGGAAGATATAAAAATGTTTGTTTTCTGTTTTGTTCTACGTTTCATCGTTTAGAAATAAACACTTGTGATTATTCATACAACCAATCATTAATTTACTTATTCATTTATTTACGAATGAAAATCGAAACAACTACCAAAAGATGAATCGATATCAAAATCGTTTCTAAGTATTCCAAGTTGATTCTTGCTTCAAGACGTAGATCAAAGTTTAGTCTTTAAGACTGAACAACTCCAGCAAAACTTTGCGGTTAATTTTCGAGAAAATCGAAATCCAAACTCAAATTTTCAGTCAAAAATCAGTTTTGTCTGAAGTACCCTAAGCGAGCATTTCTCTCAAGTGAGCTAAAATTTTGAATGTAATGAGTACTCATGAAGATGTATTTGTAAAAAATATTTCAACGGTGTATCAGTTTAGTCATTCTTGAAATATAAGGTGCCCAAAATCCGTTTCTGTTATAGAGGGTTTTATAGTGCACTACATAAAAATTCGATAAAATATCGAGGGTTCGCTATTTTTTGAATCAACTGACATCAAAAATCATCAAAAGGATTTCCTCTATCATATATATTAAAATAAGCCAAGGCGGAGGTTATTGATTGAGCACTGCCGGTGGTCGTTCACATGAACTGACTCTTATGTGTCTCTATCTTGAGGATGTGAATTTGATTGATGAAAAAATCAACACCTATATGCAATTCCTATCTGGGCAACATTCTCATCTACACTACATCCCATCTACCCTTTCTTTCAGTTATAAAGTCTTTTTTTTTTCGTGATGATTGCTCAAAATCAACTAGTCACCAATGAAATGTTTTCTTTTTATGAAGTAAATTTTTTCCCTTGAAGCAAACATTTGATATTGTAAAAAGATGCTTTGACCGTGTGCACAATGAGTATACTTGTTCTTTGTATGAAATCGAAGTATTACTCGTGTATAGATCAATGCTTTTTGCCGAATTTTATTTCTATTATAGGTGATACAATAGTTGCTACACAATAAACATCGATAACATTCCAAAACGTGTTTCGCTTATCGCATCTGATTCGTGTATAGAGATTTCAAGAATCAGAACTAGAAAATGAAGGAAAGAAAAGAGAAGAGAAGAGAATTGTCTATGCCTGACAGTAACGAGCAGGACGAAATATGGCTTTTTAATGTGAATGCAATCTGATTGATTCAGAACAGTAACGATGAGCTACTTTCACTATGATATGGAGCATGTATATGTAAATTCTTTTAATTCCGAAAGAAATTATTCTTTCTAAACTATGTCTTGTGCGGGAAACATGCTGCCAGAAATACCGTTCATGAATGCTGATATTGAACGGCTGCCATTGGCCAATTAAGATGTTTGAAGAATTGTCTCTAGTAACTATAAATGTGATCCCGTAGGGGTTTTTCTTCGGACGCATTATTTCAGCACAGATGTCATCCTATCCCGATATACCCTAAATAATATGTATATGCATGCAAAAAACTGATTTGATTTGTTGCTTTTACTTTTCAGAAAAGAAGATCAAGTGAAAATCAGCTATATAGAATGCGAGTACTAAAGAACACAATATTTTCCTACGAATATTTAAACCAATTCTTGGAATGTAATTACAGATTATTTTGAGGGGTGAGAGTGAGGTTAATGTTTGTCTCTTCATTTTCACCTTCATCCTCTCCCAAGATAGTTTTGCTATTAGTGGTAATCATAGATAAAAATGTTTTTTTACAGGTAGAGTTGATAAAAGATTCTTTTTCATATACACGTACTGTGCACAAAAGAGAAAGCACATCATCTGATAACGTTCTTTCGTAAGCATCTTAAGAGGCATTTGTCTTACTTCTATCATTCCACCTCATTTTTGTTGCGTTCAACATGATTGTCGGTTTTTCAATTCTACCATTATCATTCATACTGATAATCAATTATCCACAACATACTTCACTTTACCCCCTCCAAGATGACATGCTGTTCGGCTTACGACGAAGTCATGAATTTTCTTCGTCCACATCCATCAACACTAGTATTTGGATGCAACAACTTCTTCCTTACATTTCTCATCTTCATTTATTCAATCTTACTTTACCAGGCACACATGATGCTGCATCATTCTTTCTGACATCAGCTCTGTCACCTGATCCTACTGGAAATGCAGTGCTGGATGCTCTTGTAAAAATGGCAGAAAAATTAGGAGTACCGCTACAGGATGTGATTACACCGTGGGCATTGACACAAAGTAGAAATTTATACGAGCAAGCCGAGGATGGTATGCGCTATTTTGATATTCGCGCTGCCTATAACGGTACGGATTGGTGTTCATATCATTTTGAACTCGGTCTACCTATTTACACTCATTTCAGTGCATTGAATGCATTTTTGTTGTTACATCCAAGTGAAATTATGGTGATTGAGGTATCACACCTCGCCAGTGCGAATCTAACACAGAAAAACTTGAATGCATTAAGAGATATGATCATCAACATATTCGGACCAATACTATATCCACGTATTCATGACTTCAACGCCACGACCATTGGTGATATGATTGCAACAAATCAACGAGCGGTAGTCACATTAAGTGATGATACCACTATAGCGAACTACACTCAACTCTGGTATGGTTCCAGTATGATTAATTCATATGCTAACACAGATTCACTTGCTAAAATGACTTCATATAATTGGCAGCAAATCCTCCAGTTCAATTCTCTTCCTTCATTACCTTCTTCTGCCCTGTATAAGCTAAGCTGGACACTAACACCGCAAGTATCGACTATCATTGACTCGACGCTACCACATAAACCGAAGTCATTGAAGAATTTGGCTGATATTGGAAATAGTGGATTGAGTGGATTTGCAAGTGCTGTGTTAAAGAAAAAATGGAGCTTATGTCAATTGTTGTTGATTGATTTTCAAGAGAGGAGTGAAATCATGCAAGTGATATTTGCTCCCTTCCTACAAACAATAATTTAGACTTGTTGTGACACTGGAAAAGTGGTGTCTTTTGTGCTGGTTGTATTATGAATGAGCAGTTTTTTATCAAAACTCTTAATCGTTGTTTGTATCAGTAATTTTTTTTTACAGAAAATGCATATGTTTTTGTAATATTTTGGAGCTTCATGATCTTAAAAGGCTGTAAATTTACGGAAGACAACTCTTACCTGTTTCTTGTTTCGCGTGTCGTTCGAACCGGTCAAAAATCGACGGTTAACCGCGGTTCTGCAGCTTCATTTTTTCTTGCATCGTAACGGATGAAAATTTTTCAACTCTTACAAAATTGGTAGGTGTTAGTCGAACTCGCAGTCTTAATCAATTGTGAGTGCCCTGAAGCCACCGGTACCAGCCACATCGACTAAATTTGCTTAGTGTTCGAGTTTAGTTTTTATTAAAGATGATGCCATAAAAAATAGTCATTCATTACATGACTTGACCAATACAAAAATTAGTGCCATTATTTGACATAATTTACTGTGGTATAAAAATATGCAGTTTTTTCAGTTGCAATCGATTCTTTCAACACTGAAAACATTAATTTATCAATGAAATAATAAAAAATCGGTAAATAAAGAATAAAACTGCCGGAACTGTCAGTTTTATTAAGAACCGTCGGTTACCGTCAGTTTTGATAAAAAGTCAACGACATGAGTTCTTTCATTTTCAATTCGACGCATTCGTTGAGACGTGTGCATTTAATAGCTCTGTGGAAAACTAGATTGCTTGCTGAGTTTCCACTTGGATTTTTGAAGCACCGTCTTAGTAAATATCGATATTATGTTAATCATTTTTTTAGTTATCTACTCATAAAAAGTTCCCTCCTAATCATGTCCTGATATTTTCAAGAGACTTGCATTGATTTTCGATACATTATCAGATTTTCATCATACATCGCATAAAAACACTTTTTTGTGTAAATGACAATGCACAAGACCTTAACACTTAAGAAAAGTTCAAATTAAAATATTTCGTGTATATTAAGCAGTGCGAACACAAATACAATTATGAACTCAAGAGGGAGAAGTAGATCCTGGAACCATCAGGATTCATATGAAACTTCAGAGTGAGGGTGTAATGAATNGGCCTGCCTGTCATAGGCCAGGCCTAAAAAACGTGGCCTGTGCCTGTGACAGGCAGGCAGGCCCAGGCAGGCAGGCAGGCCTAGTGGCCTGGTTGGACCTCTGAGAGATACGATTCATTGCACAAGGTTTCTCTGTCAGGCTGATGATTTAGTTCCACTGAACGAAGAACCAGTGTAGATGCCTCGAATTCCTTTAATTTCGCTCGCATATCGTGTTGGACCTCTTCTGAGTGTATACAACGATAAAATAAATGAGCAGCGTGTGTTGAATGCAATCGTAAGGACAATTCAACAATGGAAGGAACTAGGAATTCATGTAGATTTGTGTGACTTTTCATCGTATCCGAGATTAGATGTATTTCCTGCTAGATATGTCATCTTTCTGGAATTAATCGAGAAAGAAGAATACAAAACTGATACACAACTGCTTCAAGTTTTACAAAGTACTGCTAATGAAATGGTAGAACAAGAACTTCACAACGCCAATCACAGTTATAAAGCTAATCGACGTGTGGCAAAGCTTGATTACCTTGGTTGCATTCTTGTACAAAGTGAAACATTCTCAAAATTTTTGCAAAAGGTTTTGTTGACCAATGTAGCCAATCGTTTGCAAATAAAACCTCATCTGATATTAAGAAATGAAGAGCATATTCGATTCTTTTATGACGGTCGAATCGGTGAAACATCTTCGTAATCGTCAAGACAATTTCTGTGATGACAGTTATAATTAGAATACTATTCATTTGATATGCTGCTTGTTTAGTCTTTCTGCAAGGTCGATTCATGCTTTTTCAATTCATTAATAAAATTGTAGGGTTTCGTTTGAACGAAGATATAGCTAGACAGATATACTTCATATCTTATAATGCGAGAAAATATGTGCCCAGGACAATGATTACAACGAATGTAAGCGACAATAAACGGCACGTGTTTCACCCGTTTAAAAGAGATAGTATTACTGTGATATCACATCCGTCGTAGACGGCGAAATGCGAGTGTGGGTATGAGGGTGAGTCTTTTTTAATAATACTCATGCCCACACCCGCCTTTATTTCTCATATCAATACAGTATAATTAATAATATAAGTCGAAAAGATTGACGTTGAGAAAACAATGATAAACGGTATCGTGAAATAATTGGTGTCATTCAGAAACCCAGAAAAGGTACACTAGGCGTTACGCAGCATAAAGAAGATATTTCCAATACAACATCATGATCTGTGAGAAACACGGCTCGCGACGAAATATCAAATAATTAATAAAAGAAAGAAACTTAAAAAGAAAAAAATTCAGAATGAAAAGCAATTTTGAGCGTTTTCATTCTATGGACGTGTTTTAGTGTGAACGGCAGATCACAACAAGACGGATACTTTTGTTTAGCTAGAAGCAATATTAAGTTCAGCTTACTCATTTTGGCTGTATACCATGAACTATTGTTTTGAAAATAAATAAGTAATAACGGATTCTCCTGTATTTATATGCCTAAAAAAACTTTCAATTTTCATGACGAAAAAGTCTTGGGAAAAGTAAATATGGCACCTGAGACAGAAGAAAAACTATGTTTTTTATTATTCCTTATCTTATGGATAACGAAGAACGAAAATGAGTAGTCTAACGGATTCGGCTGAGACCATTTTGAAACACAGCACGCTGCTGATAATGCTGTAAAAAATCTTAATGGTATGTTATAAGTCAAAAAGATGTCTACGTGGGGAAAGGACCACACATGATAAGAGTGGAAATCTGCCACCTCCTGCAAAAAGGATATTTTGGGTAGGTGTGGATGTAGGTGTAGAATGTGAATCTTGAATTCTTCCAGATCCAAATCCATGCACCACGCCCTAAACATAAACTCATTAGTGTAGTTCATTTCGTTGTTAAGAAATAAAAACAGTCCAGGAACTTTTTGAACCTGGACGTATCTACTGTAAAAATATCGCTCAATCGATAAAATTGATTGAGTCAGGTTCTGCTAAAACTGGCCATAGTTTACGCACAAGCTCTCTCAGAGATATAAGATTGTCGCTGTACCGGGATCTAAAACCGCCGGTTACTTCCGGTCATTTTAGCTGATCGGCGATTAAACGAAATTAATAGGTAGTTTTCGAGCGACTTATACGACACGGGCCTTTCAGTTTTTTTACTAGCCTTCCGAAGACTTTGTTGTATTTTTCGGTACTCTGTCGCACTTGAAGTATGAAAGTACGCTGTGGATCCCTAAGTATAACCTCTTACATAAAATATTATGCGCAGAGAAAAGAAAAAAAGCAAATTTATTTTTTATAAATATATACTTATCTAAATGTTTGTTAATGATAAGCAAAAGCATATCTTCTTTCTTTTAACTCATTATTACCTGAGTGTGTGCTTATAACAATACAAAAGCATGGATATTACGATTATATTGTTAGGAACTTTGATTAGTGTTCTCTTTTACTATGTTTGGACTTTAAAATCACGTTATGAATATTTTGTACGACGAAATATTCCTGGCCCACGACCTAAGTTTTTCTTTGGTCATTATTTGAATATGTGGAGTACACCTTCGTTTAATCGTCAAATTCAAAAATGGACTCATCAATATGGTCGTATTTATGGAATTTTTCAAGGAATACGCCCGATATATGTCGTATCAGATGTTGATTTCTTACAAGAAGTATTTATCAAACAATTTTCGGTGTTTCATTCACGACCTAATAACATATTTATTCGGATGATTAAAAGTAATGCAGCTAGTTTATTTTCTGCTCATGGTAACCAATGGCGACGTCAACGACATGTTATTAATCCAACGTTTACAACAGTTAAGTTAAAAATGATGACGCCACTTATGAATAAATGTATTGCATCAATGATGAAAAAAACAGATGAAAACAATGATAAGGAATTTAATATTTTTGCTTTATACAAACGGTTGACTATGGACGTTATATGTAAGTAAACAATTATTATATGTGTTATCATCTGTCTTGTCTATAATTCTTTTTTTGTAAATAATACGCGCATGCGACCAAAATAGAAACAGCAGAGGAATAGTGTTTGAAATCTCACAAAATCCTTTGAAAGATTTTGATGTTCCTTAAAATTTGCTGCTTCCGTCTTGATGGACTCAAGATGGAATTCATCTATAGAACATCAACTATAACAAGTTGCAATATACTTGAATACTTTTTGAATCATAGTTTTCTCTGAAAAGAATTTCTTTTTAAGAAATCATTGGTAAATTAATAGAGAAGAACTAGAACGAAATAACAAAAACTTCGGTCTTGATATGTCATGAAATCTCTTGAAATCTTTTGAAAATTTAAAGCATTGCCATCCACTGTTTCTTTCTCGATTATAAGAGAACTCAGTTGAACTTTGCAGGAAGAGCTTTATATAGTATTATAAAATTGTGCAATACAAGCATTTTCATAGATTGAAGATAAAAACTCTCAATTTCATTTTAGGCCGAGTGAAAATGGCGTAGTCGAGTAAAATTTAGATATAAATGGGATTTTCTGTAGATAAATGTTCATTATGATACTACAATTTGTTTCTTAAGTAATATGTAGAGGAATGAAAATGATGAAATTATTGAAGAAGCTTTATTGTTTCTTTTTAACAAATTAAATCTCTAAAAACATTTCAGCATACGGTTCTCATCATTTATATAAAAGACCACAAGAGACACTGTTTTCTCTTGTTTTCAATGATCTAGTCGTAGTTATCAAAGATACTATGTATTTTAATTGTAGGGCATTGTGCATTTGGCATTGATACTGATCTACAAAATGATATTGATAACATCTATATGAAAAAATCACTAGCCTGTTTTGCTCGTGATCCAGAAAAAATGTTCATTGTGAGATTATCTAATTTAATGCCATTTCTTATTCCATTATTAATTAAAATTATGAATAGTTCTGTTACATTAATAAACTTTCTACATGCATTAATGCCATCAAGAATGCATAATTTTGAAGGTCCTCCTCAATTATGGATTTTTAAACAAATTGAAAACGTTGTTAAACAAAGATTAGCATCTCAAAATAAAAGAATAGATTTACTTCAATTAATGTTAGATGCATCTACACAACAAGAAATTAAGGTTAGTTATCAGATTTATTCTATTATCAAATTGTGCAAATTATCTCAAATAAATAATATTTCAAAGAAATTTATTTAATTATTTAGTAGAACGATGATTTATAATAAAAAATAAATAAATTTCTTTTAGAATGATGATAATAATGAACTCATGTCAAAAAATCTTCATTATAAAGAAGTATTAATGAATGCAACGTTGGTTTTAAATGCTGGTTTTGAAACAACATCACTTAATCTTGCTTATTCAACATATGAATTAGCTAAACATCCAAATATTCAAACTAAACTACAAACAGAAATCGATGAATATTGGAAAGATGAAGAAGAAATTGATTATGACATAATTAATGACATGAAATATTTGGATATGTTTATACGAGAAGTTCTTCGAATACATGCTGTTACACATAGAGTTTTTAGTAGAGAATGTTCTCAATCAACAGTCATTTCTGGGTACCACATTGAACAAGGTTACACATAGAAAACAGAAAACTCGCCTTATTGCCTTTTGCAGCAGACTTTCGCCAATTGCCAAAAGCTCACTGCAAAAGTCAACAGAGAGAAATTTATGTTTTCTTAAAACATAAACTTTGATTTATACGCTCAAAGTTAAATCTATTTAATTTATTTATAATAGAATTTTCATTGAATAGGTAGTATTATTCAAGCTGATGTGTATTCAATTCATCATAATATTGATTTATGGGGACCGGAAGACCCGAACGACTTTGTTCCTGAACGTCATATGACAAAACGACATCCATTAGCTTATATGCCATTTGGTGTTGGACCAAGAAATTGTGTTGGAATGAAATTTGCATTAATGGAATTAAAAATTGCTTTAGCAAATATATTACATAGATATACAATTTTACCTGGTAAGAAACTTGAACAAGGAATGAAAAGACAAGAAACTACAACTTTATCACCAGAAGCTATTTATATACGAGTTGAAAAACGATCAAATTCATCTAATATTTAGTTATTCTTTTTTTTTTTTATAAATATGTGATATTATAACGTCAATGGTATATATATATATTTACTGTTTATATAACTAAATATGAATCAAGAAGTGTATGTGTTTTTTATTGATTAATTAATTCATTTTTTTTATAGTTGATCTTCTAATTATTTAAATAAAATAAATTCTTTTATGATTTCTATAAATCGAGTTCTACTATAAAATTTGTTCATATGGAAATAATGATTATCAAATGAAATAGTCTTATTAGATTGTTAGTTATATGCGACAAAAAACAATTTTGTCTTATCCATGATATGAATAAGAATAATAATCATAGTAATGACTTCTCCAATTAATAATAAAGTATTTTCACTGTGAAATCTCACAGAACATGATCAAGATCTTTTCTTTCAAGTTCCAATACATTTTGTATTTAAATCAATTGAGATAAACAATTACTTAATAATCATCAAATTTCATCAAGATAACTTAAAATTGATTCAAAATAAAATTTTGATTTTAATCGTTACTTATAAAAATATTTCTAAAGAATATCTTTTTCTTGTTCAGCTTTTCATGTATTCAATTATTATCTTAATTAGAGTCAGTGGCGGATCTAGAATTTTAGAAGGGAAGGGCGATTTTCGGAAGATGCGGCGGTTATAGGCAAAAATCACTTTTTGAGACTTATGCGAGGTAGTAAAGACCAGTTGTTCGTACGTTTTTGCTGAGAAAAAACAAAAAAATCTCTGGAAGGGGAGGCGATCGCCTAATCGCCACCCCCCTAAATCCGCCACTGATTAGAGTGTGTTTAATGATTTGCCAAATGTTCATATTGTTCTGCTTCATTCAATATTGAACCATCTATTTTGAATGAAACTGGTTTTCAGACTTTCTCTTGTATTTTTAATATATCATATTTCAAATTTTTCAATACGATCAATAGTAAGGATTGTGAAAAAATGTGTTTTGGTGAATATTTTCATGTGGAATTTATCGCAAGATATTAGGCAATCAACTTAAATTTTATTTTGAAATCATTCTAGTTCTTGTTGCTATGATAAATTTATCTCATCATCATAGTGCTGCTATCTTTGGGTGCTTTATGTTGTGAGTTTTAGAAGTTTGTCTATTTCAAATAGCTGACTACTATCTACAAAGTATAAGATAAAATTTTGCAGAATTTAACAAAATATGAGTAAGATATAATGGCCTAGAGAAATAGTGTCATTGTTACTATCAGTTAATATAGAGAGAAAGTTTCTTTAAAATTTTTATAAGGAATTAAGTTACCACTGTCACTAATTTTGGTGTGTCCTAGATAGTTTCATCAATCACTGAATAACACTGATAGTCTTGGTATTTGGTCATTCCAGAAATGAATTATCACAACTAAAACATGGCTTAAAAATTTTCATGTTAGATATTGTTCATTTTTCTTATAAAATAGCATTATTTACCTCAAATCGTAGAGAAACCACCGAGTGTTAGATGAAGAATTGAGGGTTAGTTGGATAACACAGTTTTCTAACTTTTTATTTCGCTTGCGACGACTCCATCACAGCTTGTAGCGCGAACACTGTTATGTACATTAGGAAAAACAAAACAAATGTCAACCAAAGCAGCGACACAAGCACATGAAATGCCTTAATATACGCCCACCTCAGAAGGACATAACAAAGTAAAACAAAACGTAATATGGGACATGTACATGTCGAAGAAGACATGTATTGAAGGGTGAAAGGAATGAAACAAAAAGCAGTTAGATTGTTCTCTATTGAGAAATGAATAAAACAATTTGTGCATGAACTTCGTATCATAATTGTTAGAATAAAAGAAAAATCTTATTAGATAATTTTCTACATGAAAAAGTATTCATGTGAATAATATTTTTCTTAAAATTTCTCTCTACGCGCGTAAGCACACACAAATGAATTGTGCAGGTTTGGTGTATAATCATCTCTATTGATTTGTTCATTTGGTTTATATTAAGAAGGAACATCATTATTTGATGATAGGAATGAAGATGATTCAATGTAACTACAAACGATGTATGTAGATGTATAAATATTTTTTCTGTGGTTAAAAAATCAAGAATATTTAAAAAAATTTATACGAATGTTTCGAGTCTTAAAAAAACTGATTGATTAACAACACTTGGATAGGTAGTTCATCTTTTAATTTCGATATTTCCACTTGAATGGAAAACAATAATATTTACATCAAACGTCGAAACAACATGGACTATTACTCCTTAGCCCCATACTCTCTTTTTTTTCGTCTTTGGTTTAAACTTTTTTCAATTTCAATGAAAACAATTAAACAACATATAATCTTGTCCTTATTTTTATTTGTTTCGATGTAATACAAATACATAAGGAAATAAAATAATCAGCATGCAAGATGAAGGCTAACCTTCAGGTATATGATAAGGTAAACTAATATAGAACATTGAAAATAAGGAAATAAACTAGGCTAAAGGAGAAAAAAAAGTTTCATTGTTTTTTTTCTATTCTGTATATATATGTGTATATTTATCATTTGTATGTTCGTGCAGCCCCTGCTTGAGCAATTAATAACCGCTTATCAAGTCCACCTCTTACACCTCTTTGAACAAAATTTTCACAAAATTGTTGTTCATCCTAATTTTATGAAACAAAAAGCATTTTTACAAAAAAGAAAAGAAAACTTAACTTACATCATCATCACTAGCACATTCAGGAATCGATGGTCCAATGTCTTTTCTTTGATTACGTGCAGCAGCTGCACAATATCGTACTAACCAACGACTAAGATCTCCATGTTCTGTACCACTACGATCACGTACATCACCAACTGCACCATCAACAAGACCACCTAATTACACGTCAATGAATAAAATAAAAAAATAGTAAACTTAAAAGATTCTTTTTCTAACTAATCATAATACATCGGTACATTAAGGGTAGAATAATATCCTTGATTACAAAGTTGAACACGACCAGTATTTGAAAATTCATATTCTTTTATTTCTACTAGATTTGGTATTACTGAATAAACTTTACCAGATGCAAAACGAAATGAAAATTGTAAACCATCAAAATCATGTGCTAAAACATAATCACATGCTGTATTAAGATAAATATAATCACCATGTAGATCAATAGTATCTCCAGTATGTGCAATAACAGCGTGAAATTCTGGCGTTAATGATGGATTACATTTGAATAAACGCTTAACAAGTGCACGTAATGCTTTATCATAATTTTGAGATGTTTCACTGCGTGACTGGAAACGATTTACTAATACAGAACGAATTATATCAAATGCTTGATCACGATTTCGAAGCAAACTACCCAGACCATATACTAATTCACTTGTTTCAGTATAGCTAGCTAGCTGACGACCAACTGGAAATAAGACTTCAAAACTTGTATCATTGATATATGCCTAAAAAGTGACAAATAATCAATATGAAAACTTTCGATAGAATGATTAACTAACCTTTGGAATGTGTCGAACAGCATTTTTAACATATTCTCAAATAGCTTCCGTTCGTTTATTAATACGTCGTGAAATTTGTTATATATTACTAATCAATAATTTTGATGAGTCACCTAATTTTTTAAATACTTTATTTAGTTCAGCATCAGCTGCTGCAGCAACTGTATTTGAATCAATATCAGCAACTAATACTCGAAACCATTTATTATCGTCACCTTTACTTGCATCATCAATAGCTTTAAATATTGCTTTTCATTGTTCAGCATTTCGTTTTGATACTTGTTCAAATCCTGCTATTAATTTTCGAACATAATTAGCTATACGTTCATCAATATTTTGTTGATCAACTTTTGCTAAGAAATAATCAAGAATTTTTTCTGTTCGATCTAACATAGATTTCATTATTGCCAAACGACGTACTTGGACACGTTTAGATAAATCTTGAAGACGATTGTCATTAAGAATTGCTTCAAAACGGCTACACCAGAATTCTTCACGTTGAACAGAACGTTCACGAAGAATAGCAAAGACACGATCAGATACTTCAGTATATGTTGGATATTTCCCAAAGAAATCAAGTAAACCAAGACGAGCACTAAGAAAAACAAAATAAAATCTTATATGAAATATGTTGCTCAACTAGAGTCAACATTTTCATTTCAACGAAATGCTCTTTTACAGATTAGACGATTGTTACGATCGTGTAAAATTATCCTTATATCTTTGAATTAATCTATTTTTGTAATAATAAGATATCATATTGATGAGAAATGTTCTTTCTTGTTTCGAGGAAGACACAACAGACTTCAAGCACTGTGAATATGCTGTCCATTCAGCGAAAAACTTAGGCGAAGGTACGTAACAGCAAAGAGTAGAATTACGAAAGGCAAAGTAACGAAAATCTATTAATCCTTTTTGGGGTGTGAGTGTAGCAAGAATTTGAGCGTAAGTGTGGCTCTTTGTTTTTCGCTAACTCACATTCACACACTATTTATGTCTGTGGTTAGAAATTCGAAAAAAAAATAGTTTGAATTTGTCGTTGTTATAGGTGATTTCTCTATTTGTTGTTTTTTATTGCTGAATATCTACGTATTAAATTAGATGTTATTTTCTATGTAGCAAAAAAAATAAAGATTTCACTATTTTCCAACGATATCACGCAGAAACTTCAAGATCGAAGTCTCCGCTTTCCTCTCTCGGCTTATTACGAAACATGATCTAAAAGGATTGCTGAAGTGTAGAGATAGGAATTTGGATCCACTCCTCTCTCCCACATGGACCGTAACAATGCCATAGGAACTCATTAAAGACTTTGGCAGGCCGTTATCAATAATATCGCGTCCTGGTATTTGAATTACTTCTTTATTACATTTCTGGAGGATTACACAAAAGGACGGTGAAGAAATGTGCTATAAAATAAATAAAATAAAGTTATCTCCTTGTGATTAGCGGCAGCAACTATATCGTGTTTAAGATTTTAATCCCATAAGGATTGCACTACAGCTATTTTTAATGAAATTATCACGGTAAAGTTGTAATCATTGCCTTTAAATTCTCTAATTAAGTCTATTTTTTCATTTACGAAAATCGTCGAAGAAAGCTATTGTCTGATTCTGAACTCCATGCAGTAACAATTTCTTTAACAGCTACATAATCTTTTTCCAAAATAGATCATATATGACCTCGAAAATGTTTAACGATTTCAGCAATATTTGTTTTATGCAAATCTTTTGTTACATGACTACGAATAAATTGACGAATAAAATTCTAAAAGACATATATACATATAAATAAATAATAGAAAAATAAAATAGAACGATTTATTTACTCGAAGTTGTTTAACTCCTTGAACAATTCGATAACCTAAACTATAAAAAAAGTAAACTGAACCAACTTGATGTGCATAAGCTCGATCCAATTTAAAGTCCGTTGTTACTGTTTTACCATCATCAAATGAATGACTTATTGTAGAAACTAATCTATTTTCATTCCATCTATTTGTAGCTAATTGAATCATATTTCCATTAACATTATTAATAATACGAAGTGAATAACTTTCTGGTAATTCAACATTTTCAAGATGAGTTTTCCAATGTTGAGTATTATAAACTCTTAATGGTGCATCACCGATGTGTAGCTGAAATACTTTTTTAATTGTATCTAAATCATAACGACCATTATGTGAGCCTATTTTACCAACAGCTTGTGAAAGTAAAAGCAAAACATACGAATCAAATGCAATTTCAAATAATTCTTTTTGTGATGGTGATATTGGCTAATCAATATCATATGCTGACCGGTTTTGATTACGTAAAGATGATAAATAACGATGAATTCTAGCACGATCAATAGTTATTGTTGCAAAGTTTCGTTGTTGAGGATAAGTTTGTGTAAGTGTAACTACTGTTGAATTATTATAATCAAGTCTAGAAATCAAAAAACAATAGTTAATTTATCTTCATACATATAAGAGTAGACTCATAACAGTTAAAAAAAAAGGTGTTATTAATATCGTTCAAAAGCTATGTAATTTTTATATGCAACATTAATACTGGAAACATGTTATGAATATCTTTTTATCAATGATATGAAACATTCTTGAAATGTACTACGAGAATTAATTAGTGATCTCAACGAACATTTTGTTTGTTATGAAATATTAATGTGAACTACACAAGAGACTATCGGTGACTTTCTTGATCAGTTAATTTGTAACATGTATACTGATGTTGATATAATAGGTAATGTTTTTTTGAACACTTTTGTGTTCAATTAAAACAAGCATGAAAAAAAAATATTTAGTGTGCTTACGCTTATATATTCAACGATAGATATTGAAATTTTCTTGACAAGAATTGTAAATCGATATTCATCAATCCCTGGATTATATATAACATTAAGTACAATGTGCTGTATAATAGATTTTTCAACATTATATACCATATATCTTCTTTATTTGTCCCTTATATTCCATTTCATTTACTTTCTCTCCTCATATCTTATGATTTTGCACCGGAACGAAGTGTATTAATAGCATCTTAGTTTTGTCTGAAAAATATATTTTGAGCTTATTTAATAAATAAGATCATTCGCAATTATTCTAGCAGTATGATTTATCCACAGTGAAAAAAGATGCGCAAATCAATATAACTATTTTCTTTTGTTTACACTATGAATTATTGAACTATTAATTTATTTTTATTTTTGTGTGAACTATCAAGTGAATAAACTAAATAATGTTGTATTGTTTTGAATTAATTATCAGTTGTTTCTGTGTATACAGGGTGTTCCAAAAGTCAGGACCAATAAGAATATTGAATATCTCCACCGCTCTTTCATCAAATGAGCTAATTTTTGCCCTGGTGGTAGAGGATTCTTTGAAGTTTTTTTTTTTCATAAGAAAACCATGAATACATACTGCTTTGAACTATCACTTTTAACTTCAATATCGAAATGTATCCATTTTCGACTTTTCAAAAAATGGTTTCGAGCGAGAATCCCCGAGAT